AACTGGGCAATATCAGATTTATATGAAAAATCTCAAATGGTAAGGGGTGAACCTTGTATTTTTAGCGAAATTGGGCAAAATCAGATCTTTCTTGAAAATTTCAGATTGTAAGGGGTTTACCTTGCTTTTTTAGTGATATTTGGCAAAATAAGATGTGAATGAAAAATTTGAAATTGTAAGGGGTTAACCTTGCTTTTTTTAAGCAAAATAGGGCGAAATCAGGTGTTTATGAAAAATGTCAGATTGTAAGGGGTTCACCTTGCATTTTTAGCAAAATTGGGAAAAATCAGATTTGTATGAAAAATCAAATTAGGGCAAAATCAGATGTTTCTGGAAAATTGCAGATTGAAAGGGGTTAACCTTGCTTTTTTAAGCGAAATTGGGAAAAATCAGATGTTTATGAAAAATGTCAGATTGTAAGGGGTTCACCTTGCATTTTTAGCAAAAATTGGGAAAAATCAGATTTGTATGAAAAATCCAAAATTGTAAGAGGTTAACCTTTGCCCAATTAGGGCAAAATCAGATGTTTCTGGAAAATTGCAGATCGAAAGGGGTTAACCTTGCATTTTTAGCAAAATTGGGCAAAATCAGATTTGTATGAAAAATCAAAAATTGTAAGGGGTTAACCTTTGCCAAATTAGGGCACTAAAAAAGCAAGGTTAACCCCTTACATCTGAAAATTTCAAATTGTTAGGGGTTAACCTGCATTTTTTAGCAAATACGGCAAAACCAGGTGTTCATGAAAAATTTCAGATTGTAAAGGGTTCACCTTGCATTTTTAGCAAAATTGGGAAAAATCAGATTTGTATGAAAAATAAAAAATTGTAAGGGTTTAACCTTTGCCAAATTAGGGCAAAATCAGATGTTTCTTGAAAATTGCAGATTGAAAGGGGTTAACCTTGCATTTTAAGTCAAATTGGGCAAAATCAGATGTTTCTGAAAAAAAAATCCGATGTAAGGAATTTACCTTAAAAATTTCAAATTGTAAGAGGTTCAGATTGCATTTTTTTTAGCAAAATAGGGCAAACTCAGATGTTTATGGAAAATTTCAAATTGTAAGGTGTTAACCTTGCTTTTTTAGTAAAATTGGGAAAATTTAAATGTTTATGAAAAATTTCAAATTGTCAGTGGTTAACCTTGAATTTTTAGCAAAATAGGGCAAAATCAGGTGCTTATGGAAAATTTCAGATTTTAAGGGGTTAACTTTGCAGTTTTAGCAAAATTGGGCCAAATCAGATTTGTATGAAAAATCAAAAATTGTAAGGGGTTAAACTCGCCAAATTAGGGCAACATCAGATGTTTCTGGAAAATTGCAGATTGAAAGGGGTTAACCTTGCTTTTTTTAAGCAAAATGGGGAAAAATGAGATGTTTCTTAAAAATTGAAGATTGTAAGGGGTTAACTTGGCATTTTAAGCATAATTTGGCAATATCAGATTTATATGAAAAATCTCAAATTGTAAGGGGTGAACCTTGTATTTTTAGCGGAAACTTTACATCTGGATTGATAGAAGCATCTGATTCTGCCCAATTTTAGTAAAATATGCTCCAAATTCTGCTGAAAAAGCAAGGTTAACCCCTTACCAGTTTAGATTTTCATACAAATCTGATTTTACCAAATTTTACTAAATATACAAGGTACACCTCTTACAGTTTTCTTTTTGCCCAATTTTCCTAGAAATACAAGGTTAAGCCCTTACAATCTGCAATTTTCCAGAATCATCTGATTGTGCCCTATTTTGCTCCAAAAATGCAAGGTTAAGCCCTTACAATTTGATTTTTTTTCATGAACATCTAATTTTTCCCAATCTTATTCAAAAAGCAAGGTTAACCCCTTACAATCTGCAATTTTCCAGAAACATCAGATTTTTTTCCCAATTTCGCTTAAAAAATGCAAGGTTAACCCTTTATAATTTGAAATTTTTCATAAACATCTAACTTTGCCAAATTTCACTAAAAAATCAAGGATAATCCCTTACATCCGAAATTTTTCAGAAACATCTGATTTTGCCCAATTTTGCTAAAATGCAGGGTTAACCCTTACAATTTGAAGTTTTCCATAAACATCTGATTTTGCCCTGTTTTCCTAAAACAAATGCAAGCTGAACCCCTTACAATTTAAAATTTTTCATAAACATCTAATTTTTACCAAATTTCAAAAAAGAAAGAAAGTAAGGTTACTTCCTTGCATCGGATTTTTTTTCAGAAACATCTGATTTTGCCCAATTTTGCAAATATATGCAAGGTTCACCCCTTACAATTTGAGATTTTTCATGAAAATCTGATATTGCCCAGTTTTGCTAAAAATGCAAGGTTAACCCCTTTCAATCTGCAATTTTCCAGAAACATCTGATTTTGCTCTAATTGGGCAAAGGTTAACCCCTTACAATTTTTGGTTTTCATATAAATCAGATTTTTCCCAATTTTGCTAAAAATGCAAAATGAACCCTTTACAATCTGAAATATTTCATGAACACCTGGTTTTGCCGTATTTTGCTAAAAAATGCAAGGTTAACCCCTAACAATTTGAAATTTTTCATGCACATTAAAATTTGCCCAATTTTACTAAAAAAGCAAGGTTAACCCCCTTACATCTGAAAATTTCAGATGTAAGGGGGTTAACCTTGCTTTTTTAGTGCCCTAAATTGGCAAAGGTTAACCCCTTACAATTTTTGATTTTTCATACAAATCTGATTTTTCCCAATTTTGCTTAAAAAGCAAGGTTAACCCCTTACAATTTGAGATTTTTCATAAAAATCTGATATTGCCCAGTTTTGCTAAAAATGCAAGGTTCACTCCTTACATGAGATTTTTCATAAAAATCTGATATTGCCCAGTTTTGCTAAAAATGCAAGGTTAACCCCTTTCAATCTGCAATTTTCCAGAAATATCTGATTTTGCCGTAATTTGGCAAGGTTAACCTCTTACAATTTTAGATTTTTCATACAAATCTGATTTGGCCCAATTTAGCTAAAAATGCAAAGTTGACCCTTACAATCTGAAATTTTCCATAAACACCTGATTTTGCCCTATTTTGCTAAAAAATGCAAGGTTAACCACTGACAATTTGAAATTTTTCATAAATATTGAAAATTTTCCAATTTTACTAAAAAAGAAAGGTTAACCCCTTACAATTTGAAATTTTTCATACACATCTTATTTTGCCCAATTTTACTACAAAAGCAAGGTTAACCCCTTACAGTCTGAAATTTTCCAGAAAGATCTGATTTTGCCCAATTTCGCTAAAAAAATGCAAAGTTCACCCCTTACTATTTGAAATGTTTCATAAACAGAATACTTCACACATAGGGGCCTAAATTATATATTTTAAAATTTAATAGAGACGCATTGATCGTGCTATCATATACCATTCTAATACCACTGCGAATTACTGTATTGTTTGGAATGCTCACAATTAAAGACACGTTATTTGAAAGATGTACAAATAATATTTATATTACAATGTACATCTTTATTCTTTCCCGGTATAATTTATGGCGTTTCTTACGTCAATTGGCAATCGCGTCATTATATAATGATAGTCAAATTGATCGAACGAAACTCCGTTTTGATTATAGTCAATTATGAAATATTCATTCATTTATGACATACACCTTTGTTTCAATTTTGATACTACCCGTAGACCTGCCGAGCAGCTGTAGATATCAAACTAAACCAAAGTATAAAAGATAGAGGGTAAAAAAAAATCAAAAAGTTATGTGCTAGTCAAGCTTTCAGGGATCGGTCTGAGCCATAACAATGCCCCAGCCGATCCCTTAGTTCTCTTCCGGGGTCTCGGCGTCCCCGACCAATACACACTTCCTTCCCTATCCATCCATATAACCCCGGAGGGCCAGGCACCATGTAAAAGCAAAGAGCTAAGGGAGGAACAGGGCGGCCCCTAAGCCCTGATCCTCCGAGTGGACCACATGCCCTGAACCTGTACGAAGGCGCCAACCTGGAACTCGCGGACAGTACCAGCAGCAGTGCTTACCGATTAAGCTAAGGTACTGTTGGTACTTTACGACGGGAAATTAAATCTCTTATAGTGAATAATTGAACTCATACGTTAAAAACCAAAAAGACACCAGCGGGATTCGAACCCGGGACCCCGCTAACCGTGGACGACGAATCGTAACCACTCGGCCATTTCGTTACCTTAAAATTTTCCTTAAACTGAGAAAAGTTGTCTTTATAGGTGAGCAAACGCGCCAGGAAGATTACTGGGTCCATTTGCTGTACCTTAATGGGTAAAAACAAGTCGATATAATGAGCCCAGTGTGTTTGGTTTGTTAGGAAGCTGCTTAACACAGCCTAATGTGCAAAACAGTCGTGTGCTAGGCGGATCATTACGCAACAATGAACACCGCAATTGTGTATTTTCAAAAGGCAGACGCGTAGATTTCTACTCTTTGTATCTGGGCACATATAGATTCTCACCTCCCTCTTCAGCTATTTCGACTTTCTTAAAAAGAAAAATAGAGACTGTCAGCGAATCTCCGGGAGTTGAAATAAGGATCATCCCCTCGATAGACCTCAGACTCAGTAAAGTTCAACATTGGGCTCTTTTTCAACAGCTGTTTTTGCGGAAACTTTACATCTGGATTTTTTAGAAGCATCTGATTTTGCCCAATTTGAAAATGTGCTCCAAATTTTGCTAAAAAAGCAAGGTTAACCCCTTACCATTTTAGATTTTTCATACAAATCTGATTTTGCCAAATTTGACTAAATATACAAGGTATACAATTTATAATTTTTCATAAACATTTTTTTTTTGCCCAATTTTGCTAGAAATACAAGGTTACGCCCTAACAATCTGCAATTTTCCAGAATCATCTGATTGTGTCCAATATTGCAACGTTTGACACGCCCTAGGGGTTCATCTATAACAGGTTGTACTTTGAGCAACTTTTTGTTGCAGTGTATGTATGACTATGATGTGAATTAGATGTATGATCGGAAATGAAATGAGAGTCCACTGCTAACGCCAATAGAGGGCGCTATTCAAGCAGACCGTAAACTTGCCACGCGTACTCTCGCTCATTCAACCGGCTTTGGGTCGCGGATAATGTAAACATTCAACGATCTCTCAGATTTTGACACGGATTCTCACAGTTTTTGTGGAGCGGTTCGATGTGGTCTAGTATGTACTCGAGTAGGATGCCCAGAGGAGGCGGCGACATGGCGGATTCGGGATCTTTTGACGACGAAGAAATGGGGAATGATTTGGCTGACGGCTGGTATGAAAACGGTAAGTGCCAGTGCAGAGTGCTACTGTACTGTATGTACTGTGTTCAAACTTCAATATGTGTGTCATGATCGACCGCAATCGAAAATCATGCATGACTCATTCGTCGTGTCATTGATGGTTCATACATGTCAGATACATGTATACTTGTACGTTCGTCAACAAAGGCTGCCGGTGTAGTGACCCCAGTTTTGAAATAAGATCATTTTGAAAATCGTTCCTTCTGAAATTTAATATTAATATTATCAATATCATGATTATGTTGCTGTTGTTGAATCTTTTTGCAAATACTCCGCACTTTTTATTTATGTTTTATTTAGGGCCTAGTAGTAGTAGTTATTTTGAGAGGGGGTGTGTGTGTGTTTGTTTTTGCATTCAATAGGGGATGTTGAATCCTTCCTCCATGGTTGAATAGGGTTCACATATTTGCCAAAACATATGGGAGGTCTGCCTAAAACTAGTACAAATAAAAGGGGGACAATAGGCCCATTAGGTCCACGATTGAAGATCGTTTTTACACACTTGTGTGAGTGGGTGGGTAGGTGGGGGGGGGGGGGGGATGAGGGAGGGTGGTCCATTTATTTGTTTACTAGGCCTAGCTTGTAATGTAACTAATTAATACCCAGCTCAGTTATGACATGGGAGAATCGCCATTATAGAGCTGGGATGACTTGTATGACATAGGTGCTAGGTTTTAATTTTGCGATAAAATTTGCCACTTTACGGATCCAGTACAGATCGAGAATTAATAAGATGATGTATACTATGGTGCACTTACTATTCGGGTGTAAGGAGAAATTTCCAGTTTACTCTTTGAGAAATCATATGTGTTTTTATTAATTCAGAGAAATAAACACGGAACTTTTACCTTATATGGCCCAATAATGCAGTTTTAAGATACATGTATGTATTGGCAGACCTTAGAAAACGATTGGGTAATAATACTTAATAGTGTTGTATTTTGTGTTTAAATATTTTGGGTTACAATTAACCCCATAAATGTGGCCAATTTACTGGACTACCTCAGTAAATTAAAGGCCACACTTGGAACATGTACCTGAAAATGTAGAACTTTGTCAAGTTTTTATTCACATTTAGACTTTGTTTGTAGTTTACTTGCGCTTTAGAAGCACACTCAGCCTCTTTAAAGCGATAGACAATTAATCCCCCCTTTATCAGACGTCTATTTTTGAGGTAAGATAACGTGTGCAAAATGAATCTGGAAATTACACGAAATATAGACGTCTGAAAAAGGGGGGGATTAATTTTTTATCGCAAAGAGGGTGAGTGTGCTTCCAAAGCATTATAGATAAACTACAAACAAAGTCTAAATGTGAAAATGAAAACTTGACAAAGTTCTACATGTTCGGGTACATGTTCCAAGTGTGGCCTTTATTTACGGAGGTAGTCCAGTAAATTGGCAACATTTATGGGGCCCTATGTTACAATGTGCTTAAATATTTTGCGTTACAATATTACCAAAATTAATAAATAAATGAACAATAACGCAAATCCATGAAACTTTTCTTTTGTTTCCCGATCCCTTCAGATCTTCATCTTGCAGCTGAACTGGGCAAGACTTTGCTCGAGAGAAATAAAGAATTGGATGAGAATCTGCTGGCAGCGCAGCAAGAAAATGAAGAACAAGCTATGCAGATTGTGGTATGTACCGTATGGTTGGAATTTCAGGAGTCGAATGTTATGAATTTAAACCCCCCCCCCTTTTTTTTAAATCACCATTTTTTAATTTGCTTTATTTATTTTTTTTGGGGGGGGGGGGGCGCTACAGAATATTTAGGGCATCCCCTTCTTAGGGCCAGCTTTTGCTGATCCTGAAGATTTTGCCCAATACAAAAAGGCCAAATTGATGGGATGAAAGGTGGTTGACAGAATTCTTTGTCTTGGGGTGAGGGGGTGGGGGGACATTTGGTGAGAGAAGGTCCAGTCAGTACTGCCATTGTCTGACCCACATGCACATGTGGGTTTGTTCAACATTTCTTAGATGTCAAGTACTTTGAGAAAACGTATTACAGTTGTGCACGAGCTAGACAAAAACATGCATGGAGACAGGTCCAAGAATCAATTTGTACATGCTACAAAAATGTATGTCCCATAGGCAACAAACGTTTAACCTCCTAAGATATTCCTAGATTTCAGTGTTTTTGTCCCCCTGGCTGTAAGCCGGAGGGGGATTGCAATAGTGTATTCCGTCTGTGTTTGTATATGTATGTCTGTGTGTCCTGTTTTTGTTAGGTTAACTCTTGTCAGCATGATAACTTAAGAAATACTTTACTTAGGAACTTGAAATTTGGTTTGTGGGTTGTTCTTGGTAGTCTTAAGAAGCCTATTGCTTTTGGGGTGACAGGTCAAAGGTCAAGGTCACTATTGCTAAAACAATAGATACATTGTCAGCATGATAACTTGAGAAATACTTTAGTTGGGAACTTGGAATTTGGTTCGTGGGTTGCTCTCGGTAGTCTTAAGAAGCTTACTGATTTTGGGGCCGACAGGTCAAAGGTCAAAGGTCACTATTGCCGAAACAAAAAAATCTTCCATTTTGGTTAGGGCATTGGGGACACTGACAAATATCCGTACTAACTTACTTTATAAAAACTGAAACCATGCCAGGGGAATTGCGCAAGTCTCACTTGCAGTATTTGTTTTATTCTACTGTTGGGCATCTGCAATGAGAATACCCACAAGAACGTTTATTTAATATTGGTCTTTGTGATGATAATGTGATTAAAGAAATCATGGCATTACGTCTGGGACAAAAGGGGACCTTTTCTTGGACTTACCCTTCAATGGACAAGTAATACCTTTTTGGGTAAACGGTACCCTGCACTTGTCCATTAATTATTTTCCAATTTCTTTTGGGACCAACATACACATGTTCTTGTACAAGTGTACTTCATTGGTTTACATGAAAAATTTCTTTTCCTGTTATGTTGTTGAATACATTTTACAGTTTATTTCAATTCTAGTACATGTACCACATCTTTGCTTTTCAATTTTAATGAAGAAAAGTGAGGTAATTAAATTTTCTAAAACAGATGAGAAAAAAAATTCTCTCTCGGAGAAAAAACTCTTCAACCAGGAAGTTTTGAGAAAAAAAAAAAATTAAATTGAATGGTTTGTCCAATTTAGTTCTAAAAAGGAAGTGACATTTGAGAACTGAATGGCAAGAGGAAATGTGTGGAAATGACTGAAACTAACATTCAGTCAGATCATTGTATGAGCTTTTTAACCTTTCCTGTTTGGATAAACCTTGATACCATTACCCTTTTTAAACAACCTGTTTCAAAAGATTTTTCAATTGATGGCTGAATAACTTCAAAATATACTGGGCGGTCCAAAAAATGTTAACACTTTTTTCAGATGCAGATTTCTTGGAATTGGGGAGACATGTTAAAGGCAAAATACAACATTTGCTAATACATTTGTAAAAAAAAAACTGAAACGATCAAATTATCACGAAATACCTTACTGAATTGTTGGGGACTTATAGTCTAAAGCATCAATTAAACTCGTGGCTCCTGGTGTGCTGACATTTTCAAGAAAAACTGTATTTTTCCAACGCTGGTCGGCCGACCAGCATTGGAGAAAACTGGCTATTTTTCAAAAACTGTTCTTAATTGTCCACATTTAGTTATTCTGACTATTCTTTGCAATTGATTACACACCTGTGAAGGGGTACAAGCCATAGACTGATTCTCTGAACTTACAATTCCCCAAAGTGTATAAATTGCTCCCTTTCATCTTAAGTGGGACCAGGGAACCAGACTACAAGAACATGATAGGTTTTTCTTGGTTTTTCCAGCATCTTCAAGCCCAAAACGTGAAACAAGTCAGTTTAACAATATTTTCTATAACATACTTATCCTCCAAATCCATTTATTTCTGAAAACTGCAGTAATTTAAGCAAATGTTGTACATTTCCTTTAAAAGTGTTACAAGATGAACTACAGGGTGATTAAAAAAAGTGAAACCCAAATGTCGGGACCATTGTTTTAGTGTAGTTCTGCATGTAGCACTTTCAAAATCTAGGATATGAATGCCCAATTCATATATGCTTTCATTTAGTACAAGAATCATTCAAATCACGCATGTACTTTTCAAGTTACGGAGTTTTAAACACAACCACCGTTTTAAAGTTCTGTCCACGGATCATAAAGGAAGTGTGTGTTCTTTCAGCAAAATGAAAACTGAACTTTTTTGTGATCCGTGGACAGAACCTTAAAACTGCGGTTGTGTTTAAAATTCCATAACTTGAAAAGTGATTTGAATGATTCAGGTACTTAAACAAAGCTTGTGAATTGGGCTTTCGTATCCTAGATTTTGAAAGCACTACATGTAGAACTTCACTAAAACAATGGTCCCGACATTGGGTTTCGTTTTTTTTCACTCACCCTGTATGTACAGCATCTTGTGCTAGCTATTGCTCAGATAATCAGTCACGGGGCAGTTGCTTTGTACATGTACAACAGTGTGTACAATGATTTCACCATTAAAGGGGGCCTCTGCGATAAACGTGTCCGTATTGGTCAACAGTTTGAATCCAGCTTCTGGCGATTATGCTGTGTCCTTGGGCAAACCCCTGATCCCTACATGTACTTGCCCCTCTCTATCCAGGAGCACATAATATTGCAATACTTGAGGAGTAAATTGCAATGGACTACATTTTGTAGCATTCCAATCCAGTGGAAGGAAAGCAGAACATGAATGTTTATGAGTGCAATGGTAAGAATAATTTCATGAGGTGGCAGATGTGTTCCATTCCACAGGGCGATTGCACGAATGTGAAACATTCATTATTTGTGACACCTGAATAAATCCTCGTCATCTGATTGGTCAGAGCCACCAATCTTGTGACCGTGTGATGGAACTTATATTTATCCCTAACCGCCCTGAATCCTTCAAAATCCTCTTTGCCAAAATGGAGGAATTTGGAGGATTGAGGTTACATTGTACATGGCAAAAGTGCGTTACCGATTTCGTAGGATGCACTTTGTCAAGGTCTTGGGCCAGACCTTGTGTTGTTTTTGCTCAGTCATGCATAAATATAGGCCTGGATTATGCCTGAAATCCTCCGTACCACTCCAGGATGTCACTGGCCAAGCCTCAACATATCTGCAGGATTTTGCAGGATTCGGGCAGTGGTCACCCCTCCACGGACCGTATTCAAGAATTAACTTGGAGGAATTTGCAGGATTGAGGCTATGCTATTTTTCCATGAGGCCAAGTGGATGATTTTGAAGAATCGAGGCTACATCCTAGCAAAAAGGCCTAGGGAGTTAGGGTTAAAGTGGAATAGAACTTCTCTTTTTGCGGTGCGGCAGGGCCGTGGGTTTGGGACAGATAATCCGGTTTCGTCTATAACCAGCATAATAACCATTGCTTTATGATTTGTCGGCAGTATTTGGAGAAACAGTTGCAGATTTTACGTGACGTTACCGAGTCCAAGGCCCACATCTATGAGCAGTTGGATCTCAACGCTCAGGAGACGGAAAAGACCAAACATGAACTGCAGCATGAACTGCGCACTGCGCAGCAGCGGATTCTTAGGTAAGGAACTTGCAGTTGGGTCGTGTCAGAATCGGGCATGTATAGATCTTTATCTTGCTGCCACCATTTCTGTCATGTTCCCTGTATCCAATAACAGAACTGAATGATAATGTTTTTGTGCAAAAAGGAACCAGCCTATTTCTCCTTCCAGCCTCGCATTGGTTACATTGATTTGAATGGGAAAAATATTACGATGGCCGCAATATGATATTGGTCTATTACTTGGCTATGGGCTCCGTGCACAAGTACCCCATCAACGGCCAGAAAAGGAGAGTTGGGGTTGACCTAGACTGGTTCCCGACCCATCCACTGCATATTTCGAATGTATCTAAAGTTATTGGAGGCGGGTATAGTCTCGGAGACCATCGCAAGTTTTATTCGAACGTATTCGCGCGCCGACAACGCCTGACGCTCATGGGAAGACGCGGTGGCTATAACTTTTGCACATTCAGGAAGTTGTGCGTACTTAATTCGCACACGAGCCAGTACAATACAGTCCACACACGCTGTGTGTCCTGTCCACGCAGCTCTCAAAAGAAGTAAAAACGTGCCCTCTCTTGTTGGCGCACGGAGCCCATGGCTTCCAATTACACATGTGCCTGTGGGAGCGGCTGCAAGCTACGTTCCGTAGACATATGTAGGCCTATTGCTAGCCGTAGCCATATGATTTGGACGTGTCTTTACTTTTTGACTGATTTTATATACGCTTTGCTTTAAGGGTTTTTTTTTGGGGGGGGGGGAGGGTGGGGATGAGTAGGGCAGTGATCTTTCCACAGCCAGAAGCTAACCAACAATCAACAGCTTTCTAGGGTAGTCTTTTATTCTGTTCCATTTAATCAGTTCTTTTGTAATGTAAACGTGTGATAGTCATAATCATATCTTATCTTTCCAGGTCAGTTAGTTACAGTAGGCCATGGAAAAAAAAGAATCCAGTTTCTCATTCCTGCCTGCTTCCTTTTTTCCCGGCCACACACTTTTATAGAACATTTTTTATTCATACATTTGCAATATGTTGCACAAGTGCCCCGGTTTGTACATTTGTATAATGTACATTGTCAAATTAGTGTCTTTTCTTTTGCTTCCAACAACATTGTAGCTATGCAGAAAGGTTTTTAAATGGCTCCTTTGAACACAAAGTATGGTACATGTAGTATTACCAAAATAGTCTAGAAAAATGGAGAATCTATCTGCTATCTTGGAAAATCCACCAACTTGGGAAAAGAAAGAAGAAGCGCCCGCCTCCTTCATTTAACATGTTTAAAATGCATATTCGGCCTTATAACGTCAGATTTTTTTCTACTACATGTATATTTTTGTTCATTTAATCTTGTGTTGAAGTTTTCGCTGTTTTAGTACAGAAGGCATTTATGTGCAAATCTGAAGTTAGCAGATCTTAGAGGAAAACTATCCAAAACCTTTTAAAAGTAACCCACTTTTTTATCTAGAAAAAAAAAATTCAAGAGGTTGGTGTGCAATGTAGTGTTTGAATTAGATTGACCATTGCACTTCACAACAATAGTCGGTAGCAACGCAATATTGACTCTATTCAACCTTGTGGGTCTTCCATTGAACTGCACTATGACTTGGATTTGATGTGTGCTGTAATGTCAACATGTTGTAAGGATTACCGGTACCATAGAGCTAGGACCTACATGTAGCTCTATGGGATTACACTGTTGTAAGCATTATACATGTTATACACAGTGCTTTGGAAGCAAGTGTGCCGGTATTATGTGAGGCGTTTCGGCAAAATGAGACAGAACTGGGCAGAGGTCGAAATGAGGGTTTGCTGGTATTAGGAAAGAGAATAAAATTCTCTTTACAATACTGATGCACTTCAATTTGACAAGTTATGACTGTTTAAAATTCGCATTTCTAACATGTCAAAAAAGTACAATCACTGCAAATATATATGGGAGTCCTGTAATTGGCGGTTTATTCTGCTGTTGGATGTGGATAATAAATAAATAAATAAATAAATAAAAGGCTTTCAGAGTTTCAAGTTTTATAGTCATAAAAATGAAAGATACCATTTTTTTATCCCTAACATTTGCCTAATGATCTCCATCCAGCTAAACTCCAACACCAGGGTTTGTTGGAATCTGTTAGAGTGAGTACTGCACTAGTAAACTGATTATGCTTTACCTGGGGTTAGGCATGTACCACAAATAAACAGAGTCTAACTCTTTATGTGTACAGTTTACCATATGGTGTTGGAATTCGCAAGGATGAGGAAGGGACCTAAGTAACTTACCCTTGGGAGTTAAGGTTAAAAACACATTTGTTCCACGATTTTTTACTTTTTCTTTGAAAACATGGGCAGTAGACATAGTGTACCGGTACCTATACCAGCAATTACAAATAAATAAATTTGAAAATCTAAAAAAGTCTCCTTTCATGCCTTTAATTAGGCCAAAAAATAAAAAAAGTCTCCAGTTTCTGGTATGGAGCTTGCCCCCAAAAGTGGTGCAGCAACGCGGCTTTTTTTTTTTTACCGTTTTTTTCTTCTTCAGATGTCGGCTGATGACTGCAAATGCTGCCTAACTAAACTTAGTGCAAATATATATGGGAGTCCAGAGAGGCCACATACATCATGTAAAGCTTATTCTCGATTGTAACCCCATCTAAAAACATGTTAAAGTTGTACAGCAGCAGGATTCCAGTCAAACTACCGGTAGTGAGTTTGGCGGTTTTGAGACATCATCTTTCAGTGAAAAAAAAAACTTTTTCATTCATTGTCATTTGGCCGACGCGCATGGCTACGGTGACGCGCGCGCATACCAGAAACCAGAGACTTTTTTTTTGGGCCTTAGTATATTTTTGCATTTTTCTCCACTACGGACTGTGCCCAGTTCCGTCTCATTTTGTCAGAACGCCTCACATATGCCTTACAAAAGATGGTAAGCCTCACATAAGGATGCTTTGGTATTGCTATTTTCCATGAAATAAGAGCCAATAGAGATGCAGCGAAACTGAATAAAGTTGTAATTTGAACATTGAAGAAATAGCCAATTAAAGCATTATCTCAACCTGGGGGGGGGGGGGGGCTGGAGGTGGTAGGGGTACGGAACTAAAAATTATATTTGTGATTTTCCCGGGAGAGATCAGATGATGGCTGTCTTAAAATTAGAATCACATAGGGGCTGAAATTCTAGCTTCTTGTTTGGATTGAACTTCAAGTAAAGCACAATACAAGTGAGACAAATAGCCCTATTACATTACAGATATTTAGCCGCAATTTTCGAATATGGTAGGAATAATTCCCAAATCTTAATTAAAGATGCAGTTCAGTACTTCAAAGCAAATACAAAAAAATGTGTAACTTTACCTACATGCGTGTACATGTTATGTACCATGTACCCTACCAGCTAAGATCTTTGTACATTCTGTTGTTTACAGTTAATGCTAATTTTTCAAAAAGCATTCTCCCTCTTTGGTACATGTACCCCTTCCTAACAGAATGAATGACACCATTGATTCCTTGGAAGTCAAGACACAAGACCAGCAGACCCAGATCCAGCAACTCAAGGTGGCGGAGCGAGAGAGATTGCGAGAAGGTCGTAGACAGAAGAAGATCCTAGAGGCCCTCGGCGCGACCACGGGAGCGTATCCGCTCCGCCGCGCCCGCAGTCACGACTTCGGTGTGGCTAACACAGAGACACTGCACGACGAGGAGCTCATGAATATGCATCAGACGATCAGGAACCTGCAAGAGAAGCTGACGCAGAGAGAGCAGCAAATCAACGACTCGGAGGCCGAGCTCACGGTGCTCCTGAAGGAGAACCGACTGCTGGAGGAGAAGACCAAGGAGCTGGAGGTCAGAGGTCAGATGGAGGACATCAAGAAGGACTACAAGTCTCTGAGTGGCGCCAACGAGGCCGTGTGCAAGTACTGTGATAGTTTAATCAATGCGGATTTTGAGGCCCTAGCTTGTGGGGACAAGGCTGGGAGAGCGGGTAGCGTTGTTGGGTCAGTGGAGGAGCTGGGAGGCATCTCGGAGGAGGAGGGGCTTATGAGTGCGGAGAGGCTGAACCAACTGGTTGGGCATCCTAAACATGAGGGCGTGTCCCTCTTAGGAGAGATCGACGCCCAGTACCACACCCTGATGGACAGGTACAACTCCTTGCTCCTCAGGTCCCGGTGCGGCTCCTTCCGGGATGAGAACATCCGCCCGCGCACTCTCAGCATCCGGAAGAAAGCCGAGACGGGGGTTCAGACCTTAGCTGGTACCCCGACAAAAGGTGTCCAGGGTAGCCCCATGGATTCCATGTTTGAGAACGGGCCGCCCGAGTACAAGAAACTCTTCAACGAGATTTTTGAGATTATACACCGACCTCAGTTCTCACAATCCGAATCTGGAAATGGTGGAGCAAGCTGAAAAATGAAAAATAAAATGAAATAAAGGAAAACTTGCAATATGTGTATAATCTCAAAAAATGCATGCAAAACAGGGTTCTTATACAGTTATCTATGTATACGCGAAAGATAGTCGCAGATTTTATTGTTTGGAATTTATTCATGTTGATTTTTATTTTTAATGTATCTGTAATAGGCTGTACACAGAAAAAATTACTTAAAGCTATAGTCCATCATTTGTAATTTGTGCATTTTGTTCGTTTGAAGCAACAAAAGAGTTCAAAATCTAATGAAGGATACTGAACAACTAACCTGATGAAGTTTCAGCTAAGCTTCAGCTGTACATTCCGAGAAAAACAGCATTCTAAGATCTCAATTTCAAATCAAAAGTTACTGAATCATGTTTTGAATTGTTTTGAATTGCAGCTATACGCGACGTCGCGCACTGATTCGACGAATTACAACAACCGCGCGCACGTGTGCGTCGTTCCAATACTTGTGCGCGCTGCGCTGAATAACAAAACGAACTACTATTTTAAATTTTCCTACGGTGCTTCTTAAGAATCACCGTTGGAAATGCCTTCTTTCGTTGATTACTTCAAAATGACAGTTTGTCAGAAAGAATAATTTCACAGGGAGTTTAGTCCCCTTACTATCTTTCAACCAAGTATGTTTTTCAACAATAATTACACCAGTTACTTTTCGGATAGCTGCAAATGATGGACTATAGCTTTAAACTGGCAAAATCTGAAAAGCTTGTCAAATAACAACTACTCAGATGCACATATGTAAGATGAGGATGTGAGAATGTTTTAAATCCAGTTACATGTAGTATCAACTTGACATTTTATTTTTCTTAGCTTAATTTCAAACACGTGCGTGTACATAACTCTCACTACGTGATCAGCATTACTTCCAGTACGCTTCTACCTCTGACTTTTACTGTTATAAAGATCATGACTTTATAACAATGTACATGTAATGATGTACATGTACGTGTACATTGCACATTCCATTTTTTGATGACTTGTTTAATAATGACTTGTGGAATATACTTGTTAGCAACCTCGTCCCCAGTGCTTACTTTATTTCCAACGTTGTTTCCAATAGTAAACCCTGGATAGGAAACTTCCTTCAGACTGCATCCTGATTCGATACCGCAATTGGCTAGAAATGGATTTATATTGTGTACTTGGTGTTGTTATTCACAACGTGTAGTACGTGTTTTCGCGATCATTCGTCCACGCCTTCTCGAAAATATTCATTTCCTTTCCAGTTTGTTAATATTAACATGAAATGTGATACTGCATGTTGTCTCGTTAAGACCGTAACAGTTTAATTAAAATAAAATCATGTTTTCGTAACTCACGCCATGCTCGCGCTGCGACGAATTGATTCTGTTTTTACCCCAGACACCACATGCAAAAACAAACGCAAATGTAACGCACGGGCAGGCACCAGACTACTCCTAATTTGCATACGTGTTCAAAAATCTTGCAGATGCAAATGATCCAATACCAGGGTGAGAGAGCAGGTAGTGGTGGGCGCGTACTGCTCGACACCCTGGGGACGAGGTTGACTTGTTAGCTGTTGAATCATTGTGGATGTCTCGTTATTCACCTGTGGGTGTTGTGTTGATTTTTGACCATTTATTTTTGCCTCGGAAAATATCTATCCCACCAGAAAACAACTCAATCTGCCTTCAAACCTTGGTCTTCCTTTTAAAACCATCCTTCTTAAATATGAACAAAATTGACGTTTTTCTGCAGACATTTTCCTTCCTTTTTTCCGGATGTTACATGCCAGTTGTCTACTAAGCTCTTCGCCATATTTTCTGATGAAGCAGTCCCATTTTGAACTTGCTATTAACAGATTAATGTACTTATTTTTCCTTATATTTGCCCTATTTGTAGATAACAGTATTATTTCCAGTAGTATTTTTTAAACACTGCACTTTATTATATTCTTTGACCAAACTGGTTTCAAGTCAGTGCCTTTATAATCCGAGCAGAAATGACCCGGTAAGAGGTCAAGTTGCCACGGTAACATAAATTTCGGTAAAAATTCCATACTGGCTCACCACTTTACCTGCCACCAAACACATGAATTTTTACCTCACCTTGTGATTTCACCCAAGAGGAATCCAGGAAGCTGTGTAAATGCAAAAAAAAAATTAGGCAAAATGTGTTTTTAGAGCACATTTTGGATGCACACGTTGTGCAGAACTACATGTAAGTTGAAGCAGCTGATCAAAAAACTGATTGAAGTGTCTGGAAGACAGCGGTACGTTATACGCATGACATCGACAACCATGACAACGCATGAGCCGGCCAATGATAGTGCAATATGTCATTATGAATATTTATTTTCTCATGAATATTTAGTTTATTTCAATGGATACTTCAAATACATCCAAAGATTGATATTGCAACAGCGATCGTGCGCGGCCTAGCGGTTAAAAGTCTTGTGTTTCAAGCAAGAGTCCGAGGTTCGAATCTCGATGAAGTATGTGACTGATTAATAAATAGGAATAAAGGAAAGGAGAGGGTGAGAGTAGAGGAGGGAAAGTGGAGGGAATAACCATAAAGGATGCAACTTTTGGCGCTTGAAAATTAATTGAAAAAAAGTGGTGATCCAGTACGGAATTTTTTTCCTAAATTTCCACAAATGAATGATGTTCATGCGAACACATGCTTGCTGACACGCCTAACAAAAGAGTGCATGTTATAAATTGGGGGTTTTGTGCGTCTACACGTAAATGACTTAATTTGAAAAAGGAGCCATCAAACCGGTGAGAAATAAACGAGAAAATTGGTCTATTTAGATCATCAAATCAGTCATGTTGACAAATTACCGTACAGTGTAGGAAGTGAGCTCAGGATGCCACATAAAAAGGGTAAAAGCTAGCCGCAAATTACTCTGACAATAAAAAAGTGACAAAGCTTGTTAACTTACTGATAATGGCCAATTTATTTTGAGTAATGGGGCATTAACATAATTAACTGAACAAGGTAAAGAAAAAAACAGAGCAAGGTCAGTGTTTGAGATGAATATTTTATAACTTGTACGTGGAACTTGGCTCTCGTCGCTATGCAAATGTAATTAACTGCGGTACAATTTATATCTACGTATCTATTATATTCAGCGTATTGTTTCATTTCTATATTATTTTATTTTTAAAGGATAGATTATTGGAAATGAAACAATTGAATATACTGTTTGTGCGTGTATGGTACCAGGACAATGCCGTAAATTCGGACATGTACATGTCGGACAGTTTAATGAGCTTCTGTTGGTAGTGTGAATGCGATACATTACTAATATGTGACATCTAATGAAGAGCAAACAATTACAGGCCAACCAAATGTACTACCACCTTTACGACCTCATTAAATCATGTAGTTGGATATATGTACCATTTGGTAACAGCTGGAATTTACGGAATCGCCCACCAGTCATGCCAGTAAATATATACAGTTCAATTTGTATTGTGGAAGCTATCAGTATCAATTTGCGCAATACTGTTTACTCGTAATAATATCGAATGAGAAACAGTGGTTCTGAAAGTTATCATTAGGTGGCCAAGCAAACAGTGTAAGGGCAGTTCCTAGCAAAAGTGGACATGAATGAAAAGTGGAAAATTTATAAAATCTTCAGAACTACAAGCATGACAACCTCAAACTACATTGCAAAGGGGAAGACAAGACTTTTATTTGTGTGGTGTGCCAGTGAGATGGAACATGGTTAAGCGTATTTTTATACAAAAGTTGTTTTGTTTTTTTGGAGGCTAAAACTATGAATTTGAGGTAGTGATGTTAGAACATTGATTTTACACATGCAAAATGTACGTGCTGTTGTGAGATTGTGTTTTTTTAAGTCGTGAAGAAAGGTTTATATTTGATGCCAAAACAAGGATTTTTGACTCTAAGGAAACTACTGAATTAAAAAGAACTTAGCCAATTTTTGGCATGTCCTTTTGGTGTAATGCGAGTACCACATTTCCAGAGAGTGCCAAGCTCAAATGAGGGAACATTCAACTTATTTAGAGTCAGGGAATTTAAAGCCTTGAATATTGGGTACATGTATGGTTATAATGCAAAACAGGAAATAAATAGGAGGTCGTGGGTTCGAGTCCTACCCGAGTGATTTTTTCCAACTTTCACTCGGGAGGTAACACACTGAGTATACAGTGTTTAAACGTCGGTGAAGGGCAAAACCTAATTTGATTTATATCACCCCGGCGCACAAATTTCATCTTATAATAGGAAATAAATAGTCCAACTAATATGAAGACCACCTCACTCGTAATGTCAAATATGCAAACAGAACGATGCGAGTAACTGTGGAATTGCCTGTACGCATTTGAAAACTTTAGAAGTATGGAAAGTAAGGTGTCGCTCAGTTGTTGACAGAATTGACGGAAAAATAAGGGGGGGGGGGTGGATTTACCAGTTTCCATTTGCCAAGTTTACCAAAGATAATCGTTTTGACTGTTCTTCCCAATTTGTTTTTCTGATGCGAAATACTGCCACGTACATGTACCAGTACATGAATTCAAGCTATCAATAATTTTTGGTCATTCCACTTGAACAGGAATACAAGCTGTTGCATGGTACATGTATGGTACATGTACATGTACCAACGCGTCTCTAAAAAATTCAAATTCTTGTCTTAAACTAAATTATTAATAGTGGGTCTTGTGAAATTACCGGTACAACTTTTAAGTACCAAAACTGTTTAAGTCAAATTATCAGTGTACTTAATAAAGTTTGTTCATGTATGGCCTTTTAGGGTTTTACATGTACGTACATTTGTGTTTCTGACACAGATTTAAACCGTTCCAAAGTAGCGCCATATCAGTAGGCCCTTAGACGTATTTAGAACAAGTCAAGTTGACTCAAATGGAATTTGGTTTCAGGCGGGGGATTTTTATGGACTAAATTAAGTTAAGAATGACTGGACTCTAAAGTCATTTCGAATGATTGCAACAGTCGATTGTTTCAAATGGTGAAGTTAATTCAAAATGATTTACATCCGGTGTCACTTGAAATTTGGACTCCTATAAAATCCGGTCTCTTTTACCTTATATGGACTCTAGCCCTCACATGTGACTTGTCACATGGCCTATTATTTTTTAAAAGTTGAACAAAG